TTACATATGTTTAAGTTGGCCTAGGCATTTTGAAGGGGTATCTACCCAGTAAATACCAAATCTCTGTAGTGATTTTGTAAATGAATCCGTCAATTCTTGGCTAGTGAGACTGGGGGCTGAGGAGTCCTGATCTTGCCCCGCCCTCCCTCTTGACTCAATTCACAGGAGGGGAAAAAAATACCAGGTTCTAGGTAAAACTTATTAACTTGCCAGAGCCTCAGATGGAGGAATATTAGACCTTTTGACAAAACCTGAGCATCAAGCAAATGTTCTCCAAAAAGGAAAAGACAGGACAACACAAATGGAAGCTCATTTTCCCAAAGTGAAACTTCTAAATTGCTTCTAGTATATTCAGTTTATAGTGTTTTTAAATATGAACCCTAAACCAGTGTCTCAGTAGCAGAGGAAATCCAGGCTCATTTATCAAAAATGTTAAGCTCTAAGGTTCCAACTTTTGTGTTTTCTTTTTTTGAACTTAATTCATTTTGTTGGCTAGAGACCTAGTCTCTTATTTTAGACATTAAATATACTAGTTTCTTTAATTGGAAAGTATTTTAAAGTAGCTACTAATGATTTTAATTTTAACATTGTGATTTTTTATTGAGAAACTGTATCATAAAACAGGTATGGAGCTACCACTTCTCCCTGCAAATCTGGCAAAACAGAGCAATGTTTTCTCTAGTGCTCTAGCCTGTCTTGAGACCACTTTATCCTGTCACAGGAGTCTTTAACGTTTGTGATGAGCGCCAGCAACCACCCTAATGGCTTTTACTGCTCAACCTGTGCCCAAATTTTGTGGCATATAGTGACCCAGAGCTCTTTGGAAATAGAATTGTCTCTTTAATGTTTCAAGTGCCTGAATCCAGACACTAAACTGCAGTTCACCAAAAGAGTTAGTAAACATCACTCTTAAACAACCAAGCAAAAAATCTAAGAAAGATTTTTCTTAAACAACTGGTTTTCAAAACAAATATGCCAAAGAAAACTTGAGAAAAAGAATAAGCAAACGCACCTTCTCTGAGGGCAGTCACCCCATTGGTGTCGAAGGGACATGCGGTGCGAATGTGCGGGTCCAAAAGATAGGACCATTTTTTTTCTTTTGCTGGCTTCTGCTTTGCAGCCCAGGTCTCCTCAAGGTCGACTGGAGACTGGATTCATGGCTTTAGAATCCCTGCAACAACTACACCATTAACTCTTGTAGGGTGAAAACACCACAAAATTTAGTAAAGCAAAAAGAAAGGTTTTATTCAGCATACAATTAAAGAGGCAAAAGTAAGAAAGGGATAAGCATGCTGCCAGAGCCACATCTGTCCAAGTCTCTGTTTCCAGTTCTTAAGGATGCATCTTAGCAAGCTGCATTCTGGGATCGCTTGAACATTCCCCATTCTCTGGATACACACACTTACACACTCACACAACCTAATCTGGTGCATACCTGAGCCTTTAATGCCCTCAGCGGTCAATTCCTCCCACTTCTTGGGCCTCTTCTAAGGCCTTAACCTAGGAATTACCCTGTTATTTACCAAATAACCTCAGATTCCTAATGCCCTTAGTGGTCATTTTCTCCCACTTCTTGGGACTCCTCTAAGGCCTTACCTAGGTACCTACCAAACAACCCAGGCGCATTTCGTGTCTCCCACAGAGTCATCTTTTGGGTCCCAGATGGATCAGCTTTCAGAGCTGGTTCATGGTCTCCAGGAGAAATCTCCTGGTGGCTTCAGACACTGGGGCCGATCTGTTGTCCGATCCACCTCAGGAACTGAGCAGATGACTCCTGGCTGGCTCACCAGAAGTGTTGCCAGGTGGAAACCCCAGGTTCTTGCTTGGCATGACTCGTACTGGCCAATAAACGAGAGACTGAGGTGGGAGATCAGGAAAGGCACCATTATTTAGTTGTACAAGGAAAGGAATCAGTCCCGAATCTGCTGCTGCCAAGACTGCTCCCCAAGGGCGAGGAGACAAGTTAATTTTAAAGGGGTTTACAAGGAGGGAGTTCATACAAGTTACATCAGCAACATTCTTAATCATACTATGCAGGCGCAAGGGGGTTTACACATAACCTCCAAGCAAAAGCAGGATTCAAATGCAAAGCTGGGGGCGGGGGGAGGAAGCCTAGCAAAGGAAACAGGATTTTTAATGCAACACTATGGGGACTCTGCGTCACACTGAAACCTGGAAGTATCATAGCAACATGCAAGCCTCCATTGACAAATGAGTTGTGGCTGCGTTTGAAGTGCATCAGCTGAGAGTCAAACCCCAGTCTCTGCATGGGAGGTGAGAATTCTACCATCGAATCACCACTGCCTGCTCCTTGTACTTAATCATAAAAACTCTGACAGCTATTTATTAATGGCTTATCAAGGGCCAAGCCGTGTGTCTAACAACACCTGACAGTTATGTTTTGAAGGAATGAACAAAGATACTGAATGCTTTACATTCAAAGAATGTAGAACCTTCAGAGCCACTGCCACCACCTTGCCATGTACTCTATTTCTCCATTTTTCAAAATAACAATCTGTACTAAGTGCTTTGTGTATGCTATATCTTCATTAATCATTACAACTATGAGTTAGGTATCTCCATTTTACACAGGCACAGAGTTCAAGTACCTTGCATAAGAGCACACTGAGCTGATGGGACTTGATTCAAACCCAAGCAACTGAAGTGGTTAGCTGTACTTACTGGAAAGAGAGGCCAGTATAGCATTCCCGGTTACAGGCCCTCTGCAGGAACTAGTTCAAAAAGGCAGAGTAAGAAGTCACATCTGACTAACGTAGACCCCCCTCACCTCTTCCTGCCACCAGTATCATCCCTTCCTCCATTTGAGCAAGGACAATGCTGCTGCCGAGACAGGAAGCAATCCACTCATTACATAAAGAAGGCTCAGAAATCAACGGGATGTTTTTTTGGGGCAGACTGAATTAGTCATTGCCAAACATTCATTCATTCATCAAACATTTATTAAGCACTTACTACATGCAAAACACCGTTAACAGGGTAGTGTATCTTTTCTACCAGACAACAGCATTCCTGAAACTTCTGGAGACGGATGGCAGAAAAGGAGTGCTGGCTTGTTTGGAAGGTTCTCCCACTTCTTTCTGCCTTGGAATCGTTCTACCCCTCAAGGTGGCAGGAGCAGAAACCTTCATTCTTAGATCGCACAAATCTTGAGAATGAAGAGAAAAGCATTGCGCACAGAGCAAGCCTGATACCTGGGGAGATGCGTCAGAAACTTGGGAGCAATTGGGATTCAGTCCCCAGGCTGAATCATATAGGCTTTCTAGGAGAGAAGGAATAATGGAATTTGAAGAGCCAGGAGCTCCTGAGGTCCGGCAGATCCTGGGCCCTAGTCCGCAACGCCAGCAGGTTTCCGTGCAAAAACCTTTGGAGAAGAATGCATACATTGTCCTCTTAACAATGCAAACGTGACAGCTGCCTATTCAACAATCCTTCTGCCTCGGTTTGGAGCAGTTCGTGCCACAGAGGCATCTCCTGCGCTATAGTTATGCAACCTCATTCGCAGCGGGAGTTATTTCCTGTGCTTCTGGCTGCGCCAGATTCATGTAACCCGTCTACCCTGGGCTTCAATGGAAGTCGTTCTCCATTAACAACCACTACAGCTTTCGGAGATGAATGCCCTGCACGGCGAATACCCCTTGCGCAGATAAGAATCTGAGGAGCGAGGTATTAAAACTAATTCTCTCTGGTTTTTGCATGCAGCTAGAGGACTGCAGCAATGCAACGAGAGGGACAGCAGGCGGAGCTCTCTGCAGTCCCTCCTCTAACCCCCACCAACTACATATGAACTCGAGCCAGTTTCATTCTTTGCTCTGCAAGGAAAACACACGCGCGCGCGCGCGCACACACACCCACATACACAGCAGAACAGAGTAACCTCCGAATTTCTTGAGCGTACTCTCTCTCTAGTCTCTTCGTTCAAGCAACTGCATATTCCAAACCGAGTAACGGGGAGTAACGTGCCGCAACAATGCAGCCTCCCAAGCAGCTCCCCTTGCAGCTCACACCCCCGCCCCCTTTCGCAGCGTGCAAGCACACGAGCACGAAGCGATCGCATATCCCTCCGCCTCCCTCCTCCTTTCCCCGCTCAAGTGGCTCGACAACGATTTGGGAAATGAAGGGAGGAGGGAACTACTTTCCTGAAACTTGCTATGCTGCACACGACTTCAAGTTGCAGTGATTCGCCCGGAGGCCGCAGTTTTTAGTCCTCCTACCAACACACTCTCACAGCCCGGGCACCCAGCTCGGCACCCCCACCCTCTGCCCGCTCTGGCCCGACGGGGAAGCAGGCTACCGGGACGAGTCGCGAGGGACTACTTCGCCTCCTTCTCCCGCGGGCGCCCCCGGCTCGGGCAGCGGTGGCGGCGGAAGGAGCGGGCGGCGTGAGCGCTTCCGCCGCCCCCGTCGCGGCTCCCCCTCGCGGGTGTGAGGAGCTGGCCCGCGGAGCGGCTGGTGGGCAGCGGCTGGCGGGGGACGTGCGGCCGCGTTCCTCGCTGCTTCTCGGGATCCGGCCGCCCGGGGCCCACCCGTTCTTCTCCCTGCCCGGCCCGAGAGGGGGCGATCGGCTCGCCTTCCCCCCGCCCCCGCCTCCGCCTTCAGGAGGACTCCCAGCTGGAGCGCGTCTGGAGGAATCCGCCGCCGCCGCCGCCGCCGCCTTGGGGACCCTCGCCCGGCTCTGCTCGTTCCTGAGGACCGACCCAGTCGCCGCCCGGGACTGAGCAGGCGGCGAGTCGGGAGATGGTGGGCCGGGCTCCGGAAGGACCGCGCCGCCGCCGCCGCCCGGAGCCTCGGCTCGGCACCCCCCCGCCGGCCCCCACCGAGCGGAGCGCCGCTTCCTCCTCGCCGCATCCCTGAAGGAAGCGCCGCCTCTGCTCCCGGCTTCGGCGCCCGCCCGCTCTTCCTGGCCGGACCCCGCCGCGCTCCACCCCAGTGCACGGAGGAGAAGCCCTCCGGTTCGCCTTGCAGCCCTACCTTCTTCCTTGCACGCAGCCTCCTCGTCCTCCCGGATCTCTTGGCTGGGCGCTGAGGCGGGGGAAGAGGCTGGGGTCGCCACGGCGGAGGTTGCTGCCGCCACCCCCCTGCGGGGGTGGCCGGGGTTCCCGGCTAGGGGGGCACCGTTCCGGGTGAGGCATCCACCATGGTGAGGCCCCTGAGCCGCTGCCCCTCGGTGCTGCCGCTGCTCCTCCGCCCGCTGTTCCTCCTCCAGCTCCAGATCGGATCACGGTGAGGGAAAGATGAGCGAGGAGACGGCGACTTCTGACAACGAGTAAGCGCCCCATTGCGCTCGGTTAATCCCCCCGCCGCCCTCGGCGCTCCCCCAGACCCCTCGGAGGCTCACGTGCGGGAAAGCTTGCAGCCTCCCAGAGTCCGTGCACCTTGTGCTGGAGATAACGTTTGATTTCTGTAGCCGTTTAATTTCATGGCAGCCCCCCTGGTTGAGTTGCATTCTTCGGGGGAAGGGTATTGACTGTCAGGGTGGGATGGCAGTCGTGCGTCGGTGAGGTGGAGGGATGTGGGTGGATGGAGGCGGGTAGAAATGACTCGGTTGCTTGGGAGACCCCTGGCCTGTCCTTTTTGCACTTCAGCATAGCAGTCTGCATACCTTGAACGCTCACCCCGCTTCGTTTATAGCTATTTCGCTTGGCACCTAATATGTGGGAGCACCTCCTGCAGAAGAGTGCTCTCGAATCTTAATTCGATGAGTCAGTGACTCTTAAATACCGATTAAGCCCCCACCCCCCACCCCCCTAAACTTCTGACCTGTAAGGTTCTTGTAAAAAATGGGGGCCAGGGCAGGGTTTGGAGAACTTAATGAGATCAAGGCCACCTGGAGTCTGGGGGCTGTTGACTCTTCTATTTCATTTTTGCCAGTACTGGATATGGCTTCAGAGGAGCTCAGAGTATCATTTTTACCCCCTGGCTCTATTAAAACGCACTGTTGATGTGGACTTAACAATATTTACATTGCTGAACATGTTGATGACTTCATTCATTAACTTCTAGAGAACCCTGGTTTGAAGTCTTTGCTTGTTTAGGCCGTCTTAGGTTTTCCAAACGAAATACTTTGCCTTGTAAGTATTTTGCTTTCACGTCCTCGCTACCCAGAGGCACAATGGTGCGTTCACGGTCTTCTGAGACAAGATTAATTCTGTGCAGAATGGTGGCATGCCGTTTTCTTGCCATTAAGTTCAAGTTGTGTTTGTCTGTGGAGGGTTGGAAAGAGTTAAGGGAGCTAGGACTAGTCTTGGAGATGTATTCCCCTAAATAAAGCGCATTCCTCAAAGCAGACCTCTGAGCGAACTTGAAAGTCCAAAGCCGAGGCCTCTGGAACAGAAAATAGCTTGAGACATACCCAGCCGCGTTTCCCCCTCCCCCCGCCCCCCAAAAGAACACGCTTCGGAAGAGCGAGTGTAGAAGGTAATTCTGCAGTGACAGTGCAGCCTGGAAGCAGAAGTGGCCGCCATGTTCTCGCTCTTTTTGTGAATCGCCCTCATTTGCATAGCACACTCTTCATTCATAAAAAAAATAATTAAACATCCATCACCTTGGACATCTTGAAAGGATTTCCGAAGAAAAACTATCCGAAGCTTGACTGCGTGTAGATTTTCGAGTTCGGAAAATAAAGAGAATTCAAAGTTTTAGGTTAAATTAGAAAACACACGCACACACTAACAACTACTCTTGTTCTCAGAGTGTTGACACAGTTATGTGGGAAATATCAGTTCGGGGAAGTGCTGGGATCACGTGATTGCCTCCATTCATAAAATACCTGGCTGGCCATTCACAGTGCAGTACAGTCTCACTGCCTTCGGCAGATTAGACCTACTTTGAGGGAGATAGAGAAGTTTATCTCAGATAACTCTTGGTTAGGAGAAAAACTGCTAAAACTCCTGAAGGGAGTGAGGGTAATTTTTATTGGCATCTTCTTTCAAGAAAGTAGCTTGAATCAAAATGTTAAGTTCTATTTTAGAGATGGGAAAAGACGTCTTACCAGGTTTTTTTTTGGGGGGGGGGGCGGGTAAAAATATTGAATACCTCCTTGTGGCTGCAGCTAATAGAAAAACAAATTATGGAATATGAATTGACACATAGGTCAAATATTTTGTTTCTAAAGGGCCTTTTTAAAAATACCCTGGACAAATTGAAAGTGCAGGTTTTGTGTATAATGATATCAGTGGATGATACCGATGTAACACTAAAACGAGTAAAAACGTTCCCAGTAGTTTAACTCCAAAGATGTTGCTATTTGAAACACCGAGTGGCAGTTTTTACTGGGAAAATTTTTTAATTCTAAAGGTACTAATTTAGTATGGGGCAACTTCGAAATTACCTCACTCACTCAGACTTTTAGAATTCTGTTTTTGCAAATTTACCCCACATTATTAATTATTGTCTAGGAGCTTTGTTATATATTAGTTTTGTTAGGACAAGAATAATAAAAAGTAAATGTATGTTAGCATATATTTCGGTATGAGATTTTAACTCTTCATGGGGACAAAATCTTGGGGGTTTTGCTTTTAAAAAATGTCTTATATTAGATAGTGCTGTGTTCATCTGGTAGGTAGTTTTGTTAGAGCCACCATTATGTGTGCATTAACTAAACCACAAAGCGTGAACCTCTTTGGAGTGTAACTTTTGTTCAAATTATATATTTCATCATTAATTTATAAAGTAATGCTTTGAAATGGCAATTTATTATTAATAACCATATATGTTGTGAAGAAAGAAAGGAGATGTATTATGGCAGAAGCCTTTAAAACCGTGGTATAGTTGAAAACTGCCTTGTAATACAGATTTTTATTTGGGCCTCACAGGTTTTTTTTCCCCCTCCGCCTGTACTCCCCCCCCCCATTCACTTTAGCCACAATTTAAGGGGATTTAATTACAGTAGAGGCTGTTTTTAACACTCTTGAATATTTTTCACCTATTTCAGCCTTTTTAAAAAAAAAGCGAAAATCAGTTTCTTGGGAGACCATTAACCTTTCCTAAATAGGTTTGTGGTTAAAATCCAGTTAAGGCCTTTAGAGGCCTAATTCTGAAATCCTCTAGTGCATGCCGTTATTTGGAGTTAAGAGCTCTGTGTAGAGAGATAGATAGCTCTTAGAGGTTGATTGTGAGCATATATTTAATCGAGAATTAGTGGAGGATCTGTTATGTGTAAGGCCTTGTCTTGCACAAGGACAAACCAAATGAGGAAGAAAGGAATTTCAAATGGAGTAATGCATTTCTATTAAGACTGTTTCGAATTTGTGATTAAAAAATCTTGCTTTGCAAAAATATTAAGTATGCTCTAGAGCGAGACAGTTTGTGTGGAATAGGAGAGAAACTAGCTACACGTGATTTTCATAGGCAGTTTTTCATTTCACAGAAATTGTAATACTCCAGTCAGATGTTTACAGTAGGTAACGCCATACTGTATTGTTGAAGCCTTTTTAATATAGAATTGTAAACATTTAAAGGCATATTACGTAAAACATAAGGGTCTTTGTCGTTTGATATTAAGTATCTATGATACTACATCTTTCTGCCAGTTAGGCCAAAGCACTTGGAGCAGTGAAATAGCTGAAATATTAAGCATTTTGTTTATTATGCTCACATTAGCCAGAAATGGTACTGAGATTTCAAGTAACAACTTGAGATTATGTTAGACTTTAGAATTAAAGAGAATTAGGTCACTTGTCGTAATAAACTTGGTATGGTATAATCTGGGTTTGAACCATTTTTCCATAAATAAAAAGCAAATATTTGTGGTTATATCATTTAGTGACTAATAAGCAATACACCAGTAGTAGGTTATTCTGAGTGTGCGTATGTAAATATTTATATATATATTTCCATACATTATATATTTGTATACATATGAATACATACACATTAATATGTATAATTGGAAAGCATTTTAGAAACAAGTGGAAGCATTGGAAAGCTGAGTAATGTTAAGTCAACTAATGCTTATTTATATGTAGTTTATATAATAAGCATTTCCTTAGAAATCAGTTGAATTCAGTGGATCTGTGTAAATCTGAGGTAAATGACTACCTACCTGCTCCAGCCTCATTTCCCTCTGCCTTCCCACTTAAAACTGTATGATCTTGAATTATATTTTCTTAAAACTAATACGCTATCATGCTTAGAGTCCCTCCTACCCCTCAAAAAACTTTTTCTTGTCAGTGTATCATTTCTCCCCCAAAGGTTTCCTTGTTTATGCTATACGTACTCTTTGCCCAATATTCCCTCCCTCTATATTGCCTCTGTACTTTATGCATGTTTATATTGCTGTTTTTTTCATGTAATAGTGTGATTATTTGCTTACATCTATGTGCTTACTGTATAATTCCCCATATTCATTTGTATGACTGTCACAATGCTTGTCCATAGGTGCTCAATAAGTGTGGTTGAATTAATGGAGTTGTTAGGTGCCATGGAATCGGTTCCAACTCATAGCAACCCCATGTACAGCAGAACAAAACATTACCCAGTCCTGTGCCATCCTCATAATCCTTACTGTTTGAGCCCATGGTTGCAGCCACTGCATCAGTCTGTCTCATTGAGGGTCTTCCTCATTTTTGCTGATCCTCTATTGACCAAGCATGATGTCCTTCTCCAGGGGCCGGTCTCTCCTGATGACATGTCCAAAGTACATGAGACATAGTGTCACCATCCTCGCTTCTAGGGAGCATTCTGGCTGTACTTCTTCCAAGACAGATTTGTTTGTTCTTCTGGCAGTCCAGGGTATTTTCAGTATTCTTCGCCAACACCATCATTCAAAGGCTGATGCAAAGGCAGTCTTCCTTATTCATTGTCCAGCTTTCACATACGTATGAAATGATTGAAAATGCCCTGGCGTGGGTCAGGGACGCCTTAGTCCTCAAAGTGACATCTTTGCTTTTTAACACTTTAAAGAGGTCTTTTGCAACAGATTTGCCCAGTGCAATACATCATTAGATTTCTTGACTACTGCTTCCATGGGCGTTGATTGTGGATCCAAGAAAAATGAAATCCTTGACAACTTCAGTCTTATCTCCATTTATCATGATGTTGCTTATTGATCCAGTTGTGAGGATTTTTGTTTTCTTTATGGTGAGATGTAATCCATACTGAAGGCTGTAGTCTTTGATCTTCATCAATAAGTGCTTCAAGTCCTCTTCACTTTCAGCAAGCAAGGTTACATCATCTGCATATTGCAGGTTGTTAATGAGTCTTCCTCAAATCCTGGTGCTGCGTTCTTCATATATAGTCCAGCTTCTCGGATTATTTGCTGAGCAC